GTTTTATTCCTCTTTGATTTTATTTCCCCCCAAGATAGAAAACATGATGATTTTGTTATTTTATCAGAAATCCATGAAATCTTTAGGACATACAGGATAGTCCCATCCAAACTTGAGAATGGATGAGTTTGAAACCTTTTTCACACTGTCTTCTGCTACTCGAAAGAGAAGGGGCACATACTTCCCCCCCCACCCCCACCCCCCCCTTCCTTTCTTTGTTTTTCCTTCCTCTTCCTTTATGGTTCATGTTTGCATATGGTGTTGTCTTAAGTGGGTTTGGAGTTCACTGTTAGGTTTTTTTGTACCAACACGCTTGCTGACATAGAATACAGATTTTGTAACTGTTAATTTTGCATATCCCGCAGCATGAGGACGAGCCACCCCAGAATATGAAACCACAGTTGGGAAGCAGTGATAAGCCACTCTCTAAAACAGCTCTCAAAAATCAAAGGAAACACGAAGCGAAGAAAGCTGCTAAACAGGTACTGCAAAAGTAGTTCTTTCAAGGATAACGTTTTCACAGACGGCACTGATCAGTCTCAGAGCAGTGGCCGTTAGTTGCACTGAGAGCCCTCCACACGTTTTGCATGTGTGAAGTTGTGGGGACTTGTGTGTGAGGGTGGTAGACTTTTTGATCGGACTAAAGCAGGTACAAAAGGATGACTTAAAAATAACAGCTTCGGTTAGTTGCTGTGAATGTTAGCTGAAATCAATGTTAAGACTAAGTAATTCTGCCCTTTCACCTTCAGACAATCTGCGTAGTTTGTTCCAGTCTTAGGTGAGAGGTAAGAATGGACTCGCTGCTTTGATGTGTCCCCCCAGCAGGGCAGGGCTGAGGCATATTATCAGGGCAGACGAAAGACAGCCTGTTCTGGGTTATCTCTTTGCTTCCTGTTCTTTGGCCAGGTAGATAAAAATCAGTTTTTGTTATTAGCTTTCCAATTTCTACTAACTTCTGAAGCAATAATTCTTTAAATAATATTTTTTAATTTCTTACACTGGTTTTGAGTCCTTTCTTCAGAGACAATGACCCACCAGTCTACTTTATTTGTGTATGTGTTTGTTGTGTCCTCCTTACTGATGTTTCCCTATGCTATGTATGGTTGGTGTCTTGAGGAAGTAGAAATTAACAAGAAACAGCATGTGAGTTGTTACAGATAACCTTTTTTCATGGAGAGCATATATATATATATAGGTAATGCAATACATCAAAGCAAGTCACTTAGAAATTTTGGAGAACACCAGCAAACTAGTGAAAGAAGAAATATTAAATGGATCTCTTGAAATTATTAAAGACATTTTGCAGTCCCTTTGTAATCGACCATATTTTCTAGGTAATGTGTTTATTTTATTTATTTACAGGAGGCCAAAGCTGATACAAACCAGGAATCTACACAGTCCTCAGCATCACAGAATGCACCACGGAGTGCTGTGCCTGTCGTAACATCAGGAGATCCTGAAGTTGACAAGAAGATAAAGAATTTAAAAAAGGTGAGGGGATTTTTTTTCTAATGAACAGCAGATTTCTCCAAGATCTGTAAGGTCTAGTCTGATTGTAAGGTGACTTGAGCTCAGCAGGGTAGCATTTACATAGATGGTAATTTCCTGACTTTGTAAACCAACTTCCTTTGCTTTTCCATCTTGTAAAACAGTAGAGGAGGTCATCACTTGCCCGGACTCCTAAAGATCTTATCAGAGCAGCATCTAAACAGTGTAGAAGCCACTGACAGGTGCACGGAAGAGTATTCTAGTCTCCTTTTACAAATACTGTTGCATGTGCACCCAATCCTCACAGCTGAGGGGTAGGGGTACAGCTTAAAGGTGTTTATGTTTAGAAAACAGCTGTGTGGGCTTCTTGTTTATTGGATCTTGGATCTGAGGAGGGAACCACGCTATGTGGTTTCCGTTTCTTCCCTAACTTCTAAATGGTATGGGTGCGAAGTTTACCGCCAATCTTGGCAATTCTTGGATTAAGTAATTTCAGAATGGAAGTTGTTTGGTTCAGGCTAGAGAATCTTCTCCCTTTCTGCATAATCCATCAGGGTGCTTTTGTCTAGGCTGCCTCCTACTTTCCATAGTCCTCCGTTTTGATTAATGTTCCAGGCTTTCTGAGGAAAATGTGTGGTGAAGAGGGATAGCGATAGTGGAGGAGCAATTTCTGAATTTGGATCTAGCCCTTCAGGGAGGTAATGCATGGTGTTTATGTTTCAGAGACTAAGAAGCGCTTCTGTTCTCTAGGTTTTGTTCTTGAAAGAAAAGTCTTTTATTGGTGGGGAATTCTGGAATGAGCATCTGGAGATGCTTAAACGAAATGTGCCTTCCATATTGAGACCTGCCTCCTGGTAAATCAGGCAGTTGCAAGTGCAGGAACTTTTAAGGCTGTTTTTTTTCTATTCTTGGTTCACCAATATTTTTGTATTAGTGTGGGTTTTTTGTTTTGTTTTGGTTTTTTTACAGAAACTAAAGGCAATTGAGCAGCTGAAAGAACAAGCAGCTGCTGGCAAACAGCTAGAGAAGAATCAGGTACTGTTAAGTTGTATGCAGTTTATTCAAGTGTCATTTTATAATAAGCTACATCTGTGACATCTTGTACTTTTTTGTTCTAGTTGGAGAAGATTCAGAAAGAAACTGCTCTCCTTCAGGAACTGGAAGACCTAGAACTGGGTCTTTAAAACTTCGTGGAAATCCAATGTGGCATTAACACAAAGTTCATGCAAAATATAATTTGTATTAACTTGAACACAATAAAATGTTTCGGCAAATGACTGAGGATGCAAAAGTCCACAGATTTGCTGCACACTTGCCTTTTAAAAAGCTTTCCTAAAGATTTGTGCACATGTGAAACTGTAAACAAGTAACAAATACCACATCAGCCAATTCTGCTGCCGTTCAAACCAGAAATGTGCTTATGTTCTTAAAGCATACTGCCTAAAAACCAGAAGCTGCCTGTTGGTTTATCTTTTCCTTGTTTGAGCGTGAGGAGGGAAGGTGATGAGGTTTACCCATTTGATAGCTTTATTATATTTAAAAGGATGTGATCTTTATGCAATAATGGGATGTAGATAAAAATAAAGAGCATTTAATAATAGAAAATACTTCTGTTCTTCTGTTACAAGGGCAGGGTCTTTAAAATAATGAGGCCATGCCACCATGATCAAAAATAACTGACTGCTAAGGATAAGTGAAGCTTCAGATACTGCAGCTGCGGCCGTGACCCTTGCAAGTTTTTTACTTTGTGATTTTTATTTTCCTTTCTTCCAATTCTCATTTTCTCCTTACCTTTTTCTGGTCCCTTTATTTGTGACCATTAAAAACAAAGAGCTAAGTATGCAGGGGAAAGACGGTAATGGATTCTACGCTGCCTTGTCAAATGCACGAGCTGGAACTGCGATGGCCTGCTGCCGTCCCTGCGGAGGGAGGGTTCGGCCCAGCTCTGTGGAGTGCTCTTTGTGACGGCATCAACCGCTGCCGCCGTCTGCCTCGGTGACGAGCTGGGCAGTCAACGGTGTTAACCTGCTCTCTAGTTCTACGCACTTAAATCCAGCCTCGGTGGGATTTTGGGGGCGGAGGGTGTCCCGCGACCACCACATCCAGCAAGCGTGCAGGGCCTGCAGCGCTTCCCCCTCAGCGTGAGTAACGTTTACGCATTTGCTTCTGGCGCAGAATTCCTAGCGGCCGCTTACTGTCGTTTAACGCGAACAGGCCGCACCCTTGCCCATGTAATTAAAACCCAGGCCTTTTCCAAATACTAAATCCTGACTAAAACACGG